TAATATTCCATTTTATAGAAAAACCATATCTTCTTTATCCAGTTTCCAACTGATGGGCAAATGGGCTGTTTCCAAGTTTTAGCTATTACAAACTGTACCACTAGTATATACATGGCTGTGCATACATCACTGTGACATGATTCTTTTCATTCTTTTGGAAAGATACCCAGCAGAGGGATGGCTGGGTCAAATGGAACCTCTAGTCCCAGCTTTCTGAGGTATCTCCATATTGATTTCTATAAATAAAGCATTTGTAAATGGGGAGGAGAGGAGGGGGTGAAGGGAGGGCAGTGACAAGGGAAAAATGAGAACCAAGACCTGTCATGTAAAGGTACAAGATCCCAATAATGAATGTAACTATACTGTATACCTAAAATGTACCAATAAACTCAATTAAAAAAAAAACATAAACACAATTTTGTCTACATACAGTTTCTTCATGGATTCGTCTGTTGCTGGATATTTAGGCTTATAGTGTCTATATCTTCACTATAGCCACTAATGCTGCAATGAACATGAAAGTGCAGATTATCTTGAGAGTGGTGATTTCTTTTAGGTATATTCCTCAGAAGAGGGACAGCTGGGTATATGGTGGTAGCATATGGTATGTTTATTTAGAAATTTCCATATTATTTTCCATAATGGTGGCTCCAATCTACATTCCCAGCAACAGTGAAAAACATTTCCCTTTTCTCCAAACCTTGTCTTTAACTTTTTGATAACAGGCATCCAAATGGGAATAAGGCCCTATGTCAGTGGTTTTGATTTGAATTTTCCTAATGATTAATACTGTAGATCACCTTTTCATCATCTGTTGACCACTTTTATGCTCTGTTTGAAGAAATGTCTAGTGAAGTCTTCTGTCCTTTTTTGGTACCAGGGATCAAACTCAGGACCTTGTGCTTGTCAAGCAGGCAGCGGAACCACTGAGCTAAATCCCCAGCCCTTTGTCCATTTTTTAATTGAGTTATTTACTGTTCTACTACGTTTTATGAGTTCTTTATGTTTAGATATTAATCTCTTATCAGATATTATTTTCCCAATCCACAGATCGCCATTTCATTTTGTTATTTTCTTTGCTATGCAAAGTTTGTACTTTGCATTTACAACACTCACAATTGAGGATAATCATATTTCAAGTATCCCACAGCCACATACAGCTAGGAACATGTAACATATGGACCAGTAACACACCTATAACAAAAATGGGTCAAATATTATTACTAAATTTCCAAAGGAGAGTGAGGAAGGAAGAAAGAGACATAAAAATTAAGATATGTTAGGTACAAGTATCAGCTCCCTATCATTATGTACTGTAAATATGTACTAATGAAAATTGAAAACAAAAAAATGTCTAAAGCATAGCAACATAAAGCCCTAAGTACCTAAACGAAAGCAAAATATCTTTAATGGCATATATATATTGACAATAGAGTCAAATCGTAACAATACCAATCAACACTAATAAAACATTTATTATGTGCCAGACCCTATTTTAAATGCTTTTCAAGCATTATCTCATTTGATTATCACAAAAACTGCTGATGCAAATACTAGCAATAACCCTATTGTATATATAAGGAAACTAAGACATAGAAAAACTAAGTAAAGATTTAACCCCATTGTGACCTTAAAACACTACACACACTATAGCATAAGAAAATGCCAATAAAAATCAAAGTCATTTTTAAAATCAGAATACAGAAGATAAATAAAAAAGATAATATGAAATAATAAAAACTAGTTTTTAGAATTAACAGGCTTTTTAAACTCAATTATTATATAACATGCTCCAATCTCCAAATTACACAATTTTGGATTAGAATTTGTATTTTTAAACTATTATTTCCACAAATACTTTATTTAACCTTATATTACTGATATAAAATGAAAATGTTTATTAAATATTGTAGTTTTAGCTTAAAGAAAAAAATTGTTTCAATATCAAAGATTTTCCAGGGCTGGGGATTTAGCTCAGTGGCACCGCACCTGTCTTGCAAGCACAAGGTCCTGAGTTCAATCTCCAGTACCAAAAAAAAAAAAAAAAAAAAAAAAAAAAACCCAAATTTTCCAATAGTGTATTGATTTCAAGAGTTGTACTTTTCTGAAAGTCTTACTGTATTTATTTATCATGACAATTTCATTGTGGACTTTTTAATAGTCTCATTCTCTTTTATGGAAGGAGGGCTTATCGTCTTCCGATTTACCTATCATTTCAAAGAACGAAAAAGTATGTTAAAATAGGCAAGAACAGAGCTACTTTCTTTCACATATTTCAATTCTAAGGAAAAACAGAGGATGCTGTATAATACTGAACACATTAAACAGGTCCACGCTGCTCCAAGACATGAGGCATACGTTTACAAGTACATGCCACCGGCAGATGAGACAAACACTGCCTAACAATCACAAAAAGTTCAGATAAAAAACGGGACATATCTTCAGAAAATAACATTCAAAACATTTCTCTAAGCTAGGTGTGGTGCACACCTGTAATCCCAGTACTCATGGGGCTGAGGCAGCAGGACTGCTGTGAGATCGAAGTCAGCCTGGTTTACAGAGTGAGTTCAGGGCCAGCCTGGACTACATAGTGAGACCTTTCATAAAAAAAAAAAAAATTCCTCTTCTGAAATAAATAGTTCCATGTTAAAGAACTGTGATCAGAGCTCAAACTCTCTGACCCCTTTGTGTATTTAAAAATCACAAGATAACGATGGCCTTGATCCAGTTGAAGGCCATGACTGTCTGCATACTAACTTTGACATTTTCAGGGTGTCCCTGGAAAGCTTAATCACACACCTTCAGTTACATAACAAACCTATTACCAGACTGCTTTCATTTATTCCTCCCACACATTCAAAACTTCTCAAAGGTGCCCAGATATAAAACAGGGATAGATCTCATAAAGAAAGAGTTCATCTGTACAACATGCAGCACTGGAGCAGATGGTCACCAAGAAAAAAGGTTAAAAGCATTAGCCTATTACTGTGATGTCAAAGAAATATATCAGCTTACTAAAAATCTTCTAAAAAAAATAGGGCCGGGGATTTAGCTCAGCGGTTCAGTGGCCTGCCTTGCAAGCGAAAGGACCCGAGTTCAATCCCCGGTACCAAAAAAAAAATTAAAATCTTCTAAAAGATTATATTCACAGCTTTTACATTTTTTTCTTTAAATAATCTGAATAAGTTCATCAATAAATATCTCACAGCCTATGAAGTTTATCTGCGAGAGTTTTTTTTTTTCTTTTCTGTTTTCCTTTTGCTGCTACTAGTATACGTGTTAGATACCAGGTAGAGCCTTTGTTGTGCCCTAATTCTCTGGTTATGGTCTCCTCTAGGAGTTAACAATGCTAGCTAGAATCAAAATGGCCTCACCGCTCACTTACATTATCTGAGCTTTTCCTTCCCATATGACAATGTAACTCCAAGATCCTCGCATCTATGAAACAATTATTTGCACTATGAAATCTTAAGACCAGTACACAATTATTTATAAATGTCATTTGCTCTTTGAACACTTTTAAGAGGGATCAGACAAATTAAGTACAAAACAATCTTCTTTATTAAAAAAAAAAAAATCAATGCTCGGTGTCACACCTTCTTGGCAGGTACAAGGTCCTGAGTTCAATTCCCGGTATTGTGGGGAGGAGGGAAAAAAGTCAATGCTGGCACTCAGAACACTGAGTCAGTAAGAGGAGAGTTTGAGGCCAGCCTGGGTTACATAGTGAGATCCTATCTCAAAATGAGTCAACACTAAGCATTTAAGGTCAACAGAGAAATATAGCTCCAATCATATCTGTGCTCAACTACAAATCACAAGTATTGGGCCATGGATTTAGCTCAGTGGTTCTACCACCTGCCTCGCAAGCCCAGGGTCCTGAGTTCGATCTCTGGTACCAAAAAAAAAAGTGCAAATCACAAGTTTAAGTATGAATAATATCTATATACACTTAAGATTATCACTTTACCATGCAAGATAAAAAAACTTACATTAAAAAGTAATTTTAGGGCCAGGGATTTAGCTCAGTCATTCTGCCGAGTGCCTTGCAAGCGCAAGGACCTGAGTTCGATCCCCAGTACCAAAAAAAAAAGTAATTTTAAAATAAGAAATTTTATAATAATCTTAGTATATGATTTGAGATAAAGCTTCTACATATATGACTTAATATTAAGCAATTTTTAAAATTCCCTTGTGGACAAGAAAAAAGTGAAACTAGAAGGAAAAAACAGAAACAAAGCTTTTGTACATGGAGGGTGGGATGGGATAAAATAGAGTTTTGTTTGGTTTGGTTTGGTTTTTTGGTTTTTTGAGACAGGGTCTATGTAGTTGAGACTGACCTGGAACTCACTATGTAGCCCAGGTGGTCTCAAATTCATAGCCATCCTCCTGCCTCAGCCTCCTGAGTGCTGGGATTACAGATATGCACCACCACGCCCCGCTATAAATTTTTTTTTTTTAATTCCCTTGTAGGGTTGGGGATTTAGCTCAGTGGTGCCACCGCCTGTCTCGGAAGTGCAAGGATCTGATCCCAGTACCAAAAAAAAAAAAAAAAATACTTCCCTTATAACTAAACTGGCTTTTTCCCTTCCTTCTGCAGAACAGAGGGTTAAACCCAGGACCTCGTGAATTCTAGGTAAGCACTCTACCTATGAGCTATATTCCTAACTCCTTTTTAAATATTATTTGAGACAGTACTTCATTAAATTGCCGAGGCTGGCCTCTAACTTAAAATCTCCCTGACTCATCCTCCTGAGTTGCCAGGATTATAGGTATGTGTCACAATTCCTGGCTGTGGCTTGCCTTTAAACCCAAAGAAAATGCTAAAGATTAAAAGAAACAGAAAATGTTAAAGATCATTATACCCTTCCTCAGATAGTTCATCAAAACAAATAAGGCATCAGAAATTCAATTCAAGCTGAAGGATATGTGTGGCAAGAATGCCCCAGAACATAATACTCACTGCATCTGTACCAAAATCTGAACATACTCAGTAATCTTACCTGTCTCTGAAATGTAGGTAACAGGATCCTGCCGTAAAATTTTACCAGGTTTAGAAGACAATGGCAATTTTTCTGACTGTTTTTTGGCATTTTTTACCTGCCCTGTCTCCTCTGATTCTGAATCTGTATGTGAAAGGAAAACAAAACGTGGAAAAGTACTGTAACAGCATATTTTTTCTACTCCCCCCCCCCCCCCCCCCCCCCACCAAGCTTACCCTCTCCTGGTTTGTTCTGTTCCCTGGTCTGGCTTTTCTTAGGCCATCATCCCCAGCCCTTTTTTTCACTTGTTGGCTTTCTTCAATTTTGAGACAAGGTCTTGCTAAATTGCCCAAGCTGGGCTCAAACTTGTGATCTTCCCTCTTTCGCCTCCCAAATGTTGGGAAGGGGCCACCATTTGCCTCACAAGTGCAAGGACCTGAGTTGGATCATAGTACCAAAAAAAAACCACACCTGGCTCAGTACTTTTTTGTTGGTTTGTTGTTTGTTTTTTGAGACAGGGTTTTGCTATGTAATTCAGGCTGACCTCGAACTCACTAGACCAGCCCGGTCTGGATCTCCCAGCAATCCTCCTACTTCCCACAGTGCTAGGATTACAGGTGTGCCCCACCTGGCCTGGCAGGCTCTATATTTTTTTATGTAGTTATAACCAGTTCCTCAAGGTCCCTTTCAAGGCACATCTCTTGTGAGCTTTTCCCAGGGATGTATTAGGTTCCTACTGCTGCTACAGCAAATCACCAAAAACTTAGTGGCTTAAAACAGGAATTTATTATCTAAGCAGCCCTGGAAGTTAGTCTGAAGTGGGTCTCACTGTGTAAACATCAAAGTGTCCGCAGGGCTGTTAGCTCCTTACTGAATGTCCTACGGAAGAACCCACATCTTGACTTTTCCAGTTGCTACTGTAGCAGCTGCCAGCGCTTCCTGGGACACCAACCCCTGCTCAGCTCAAAGGCAGTGGCATCAGGCAGAGCCCTCAAGCTGCCATCTCTCATTCTCTGACCCTCACAGACCATCTCTCCAAAAGCTCTTCCGCCTCTCGCTCCTCACAACACTAAGTCCACCTGAACAACCCAGAATAAGCTCTCTACTGAATTTTTTTACCTTTTCTATTTCATGTGCAGCTTTTATTTCCTCTTGCCCTGTAACCTAACATATGCACCAGGTTCCAGGAACTGGTGCGGAAATATCTTGGGGTGGGGGTGTCTGTCTGTTACTGCCTAATTGCCCAGACAACTTATTATAAACCAGGACAAAGTGTAAGCACTCAGCATAGCGCCTGGTACAAAACAGATGTTTCATAAATTCACTCTCCCTCTTCCTCTGCATTATGCACATCTAAGTCCTGTTTCAAACTGTTCTATATTATACTTAATTGCCAATTTACCATGTCTGTAAACCCAGCACTTGGGAGGCTGAGACAGAAGGATCACCACAAATTCATGGCCAACCTGGCTACATAATGAGTTCAAAGCCAGCCTGAACTACATAGCAAGACCCTGTCTCAAAACAACCCAATAGACAGAAATGATTTTAAAAATAAAAATTGCCAGTTTACAAAAAAATCTCGAAACTTCATGAGAAAGGGGGCATGTACTTCTTTCAGATTCCTTACAGTATAGAGCAGTAAAGGCGACACAGTAAATCCTCACATCCTTTTAGAATTGAGTGAGTTCCTTTGCTGCTGTCAAAACTAACAATCCAGAGCTGGGCATGGTGGCTCACGCCTGTAATCCCAGCACTCGGAGGCTGAGGCAGGAGGATCACTGTGAGTTCGAGACCAGCCTGGGCTCCGTAGTGAGTTCCAGGTCAGTCTCAACTACATAGTAAGACCCTGTCTCAAAAAAACAAAAAAAACTTTAACAATCTGAGTACATGGGTAGCATGGCTATAGTCCCAGCTATGTAGAAGCTGAGGCAGGAGGACTGCTTGAACCTTTTTGACACCAGCCTGTACAAGGTAGCAAGACCACATCTCAAAAACAATAATAATTTTTTTAAAGAGTAAAAAAAAAATCTTGACAATCCGCGTCTCCTTAGACTACATTTTTAAAGAATTCACATAGGATAAAAATTAAAAATTGGCTGGGGATTTGACTCAGCGTGCTGCCTCCTGCCTTGCAAACACAAGGGCCTGAGTTAGATCCCCAGCACAAAAAAAAAAAAAAAAAAAGTTTTAAAAATTAAGCTGAATACAGTGGCTCACATGTGCAGTCCCAGCTACTCAGGAGACTGAGGCAGGAAGATCTCTTGAGTCCATGGCTTCAAGGCCATCCTGCCTTGAAAACTAAGTACAGTTCCGGATGTATCTCACTGTGAATCACTTGTCTGTCATGCATTCATTTCCCAGCACCACAAAATAAATACATAAGCTAAAAATGAAAACTAAAGAAAGAAAATATCACAAAAGATGGCTTTTCTCCACAAAAACAAAAAATGAGCTTTCTAGACCAGCCTGTGCATCATCAAAGGCACGTGCAGGAGCATGGATACAGCTCAGTGACAGAAAACTGGTCTAGTGGTGGCCCTTATATGATCCGAAACATACAGAAAAATGAGTAAATAATATTCAATATTCAAACTATACGAGACATGCCTCATACACTACTGCCTTCTAAACAAACCTCCCGCCCCACACTGAGGATCTAACTCAGGACCCTGCCACGGAGCTACACCTCTAGCACTAAATGAACTTTTCATACATTAATATATTTAGATTCTAAGAACTCTAGTTAAATAAAATTGTTTTAAATTTCACTTGAGCTGTTCACAAAGAGCTATGCACCTCAAACATCAGTTTGGAAGAAAATACCTAAGGCATATAAAAAAATTTAAGACTTTAAAGATCCTCAGAAGAAGCATTACCTGAATCATAGATGATCCTCTTTTTCTTGTTTGGTTGCTTTTGTTTGGAGGCATCCTCTTTGTAAGAGCTATTTACCTATAAACACCATAGTACAATTAGAACACAAAGCCTATACAACTGGTCCTTAGTTATTTTCCTCATTAAATCAGGGCTTAGTGGTTCTCAACCAGAGGCAATTTTGCCTCCCAGGAGACATCCTCAATGTCTAGAGATATTTATATCACAAATGTCGGGGGGATTCCTGACATCTAAGGAGACCAGGGAAACTACTAAACATCCTACAACACACAGAACAGCCCTCCACAATAAAAAGCGACCTAAGGGCCGGGGATTTAGCTCAGCGGTTCGGTGGCCTGCCTTCCAAGCGCAAGGACCCGAGTTCAATCCCTGGTACCAAAAAAAAAAAAAACAAACAAACAAAAATTAAAAGGTCTGGGTATATAGCCCAGTGCAAAGGTCTTCAATTCAACCCCAGTACCATTAAGAAAGGGAAAAAGGGTGACCTACAATCCCAGCACTTTGGGAGGCTAACACAGGAGAGTCACCAGGTCACACTCAGCTTGGGCAATTTATCAAGACTTTGTCTCAAAATAAAAAATAAAGAGGGCCAGGGATATAGTTCAGTGGCACAGCAACTGCCTGGCAAGTGCAAGGCCCTGAGTTTGATTCCTGATATTAAATAAATAAGTGGGTGAGGATAATAGTTGTGAAGGCCCTGAGTTCAATCCCCATTACTGTTTAAAAAAAAAAAATGTTCCAAAAAAACTAAACTTGTAGCCCACCACTAACCAATGAATGCCCACTGGAAAATTAAACCAAAGCAAAAGGTATGTATATTTTATAGCTAAATATCACATTTCTAACACTCAATTTTTCCCAAAAAGCATCAAAACAGCAAAAACCTGATTGTAATCAACTAAAAGGTAGGAATATGAGCTTTTCTGTCCATTATATTAAGCTTCAGAAACATAAGGTCAATCAGCTTGCAAAAAAACAGAACAAATGAACAATTATAATTTATATACATCACTAGAGAACAGAGTTAGAGGCAACCACAATAACTCAAAAACAAGAGAAGACCATATTTCAAAAAGAAAAGAGCCACAGAAAGGGACTCCCAGATTCTGCCTACACACTTCGGCCAAATCTCAAGCTTTCTCCCATATTGTGTGCATGGAATAACTCCTAGTGCTTAGCTAAGATTAAAAGAATGGAACACAGATTTCAGCTGTTGTCCATCACAGAGGAGAAAAGAATTTGGAACTTGAGTTCAGTCAAGTCAATGGCTTGATAAACCAAAATAAAACATGTCACCTGTAGTAGTTAATTTTATGTGTCAACGTGACAGGACCATAAGGTGTCCAGACATTTGGTTAAATGTGTTTCTGTGAGGGTGCTTCAGCATGACCTTAGCATTTCAGTGGTGGTAAGCGCACTTATAGAATTGTACAATTGTAGATCCAGACATTTTACATAAAGTGGAACAACATTCATTCAAATGCACTACAGTAGCCACTGCCTACTTTCTACAGAGACTTCTGAGGCCCAGGGAGGAGGAGAAGGAAGCAAAGCTTCCTGCCAAACCTTCCCTCACCACCCAGTCTAACAGCACTCACTCACCTGAGGACTGGGACTCCTGGCTCTGAGAGTAAACCTTGGTCTTAAAACGAAAAGTTCTAACAACTAAAAAGGGCTCCATCTCTATATTAAGAAAACAAAAACAAGCTATGAAAGTAGTGATCTATATTTATTAGAAATGTGACAGACTGGGCCGGGGATTTAGCTCAGTGGTTCGGTGCCCTGCCTTGCAAGCGCAAGGACCTGAGTTCAATCCCCGGTACGAAAAAAAATGTGATAGACTTAATATTTTTCTTCTGCTGCTGCTAAGTTATAATCTGCATTTACTTAAGGTTCCCAACATAACAAGTTTAGGAGCAAAGACTAACATCTCATACAATTCAAGTTGTATATGCAAAACTGACCTTAATTTCCTTTATTCCTTTCTTTGCTTTCAAAGTTTCTTCAGCAGACTTTGTTTTCTCATTCTTCTTTACTGTTTCACTTACAAGCTTCTTTCCACTTGGTACAACTCCAAAGAATTTCCTTATGTCCTATGAGCAAAAACAGACTCATAAATACTAACTGCATAAAATTCTAATTTCAACTACAAAACAGGCCAGCTTTACTCACACGCTAGTTTACCCTGCATAATTTCTCCATATCCAGAGCTCGATATATGTAGCAGCAGCATTTTTATGTATAAAAACTACCTTAAAAAATTACCTGAGTTAAAAATAATCTGCCTAGCAAAAAGTAGTATTAATTCTCAGAATATGGCTAAAAGCTGGGCAAAAATAAGCCAAATTTTTGTTAGCGACAGCACTGTTACAAAGATGCAAGTAGGTCTTTATTGACAACACATGCACAGATAACCCAGCAACCCACACTCAGGATAGACAAGACACAGAGCTGAAGAACATGGCTCTTACCCATGGCGCTAATACTTCAGTTTGAGAGAAAAGGAGCTCTCACAGCCCTGATCATTCCTAGTAACTAGGAGCCTTAAAATTATTTTCCTTTATCCCAAATTCCGAAGAAAAAAATTTGGTGCTCATTACAATATGCTCTTTGGTATTTTGTTTTGTGGTACAAGGGAATGAACCCAAAGAGCACTGAGCTACAACCTCAGTTCTTTTCTTATTTTGAGACAGGGTCTCACCAAATTGCCCACACTAGCCTCAAATTTATAATCCTCCTGTCTCAGCCTCTAGAGTATCCAGGATTATAGGTATCGCCATGACTGATACTTTTTTTTTTAATGAGGTCTATTTGGCTCACAACAATGCTCACTTTAATTACTGTTATCTTTTGTGTCAAGCTACAGAATTCAAATTAATCATACTGAAACTTTGCAATGTAACTTACAGTTAAAATCACTCACTTATCTTTCATATATCATACATACATACACACACATACACACACACACACACACACACACACACATATTCTTCCCTACCTTTCTAGAATTTATTTTTGAAGAAGTATAAAATTCACTTATCTTTCATATATCATACATACATACACACACATACACACACACACACACACATATTCTTCCCTACCTTTCTAGAATTTATTTTTGAAGAAGTATAAAAGGAAGGGAACAGACCTAAGAATAAGAAAGCCGTGGTTTGAATCTGTGCTCTAGTGCTTTCTACCCATGTGATGCTGGGAAAGTTACTTACTTTCTTTGAGTCTGTTTTCTCATAAGCAAAGTGAGATTAATTATACCTGCCCTTTATAAGGATTACCAATGTGTATATCAAAATTTTGGCTCAGCAAAAAGCTTCTCTCCATTTCTAAACTACTATCCATCCATTTGTGTCACTAAACCATCTTCATTTATAAACTACTTACACCAAGAGTATAAAGTACACAAAATGAGCACTTAAGAACTTAAAGAACAAAGTTCAAGGACCAGCTGAACCATATTTTCCTTTTCTTATCTTTAACTGTATAATCCTGAATTCTCAATACTTTCCTTACAACCTATCTTTTTATTGTTGGAGAAAGGATTAAAAAGTACTTTGTGAAAAAAGTTAGCAATTATTTTTAGATCCTAGCAGTAATTATAATACTCACACCGTCAAAAATCCCAAACATACACAAATGTTTGTTACATACACAAATACATATGGCTTTGTGTCTAAGCCAATAAAAAAAAAGCAAACAAATGAAGCAACAAGCATGTTAAATTAGAGATTAAAGACTTCCCTGGAGGATGGGGGTACACACCCCTGAGTGGCAGAGCCAAGGGAGGCCTTGGGCTTGATCCTCAATACTTTAAAAAAAAGAAGAAGCAGCTGGGCGTGGTGGTGCATGCCTGTAATCCCAGCACTTGGTAGGCTGAGGCAGGAGGACTGCTGTGAGTTCAAGACCAGCCTGAGCTACATAGTAAGTTCCAGGTCAGTCTCAACTACATAGTGAGACCCCGTCTCCCAAAAAAAAAGACTCCCCTAGTTGTATAACCTCTTTTGTAAATCTCCCAATACAGAAAAATTTTAAATCCATAATTTAAATCTAAAAAATATTGTTTAAAGAAAAGAAACCTCAGCCACAAAACTGAAACATTTGTTGTCAGGTGCTAAAGGAAAGACAATAAAGAAAGCCACAATCATCCTTGTAACTTGCAAAAAATTGAGTTTGAGGCTGACAGCTACTTTATTGCTTCTGGAGGAAATGAGAGTTTAACACCAGTTTCACTTTTTAGAAATTACACCATGACTCTTCACTTCAATAGGGTTGATCATTGAAACACGTGAGAAACAGACAGAGAAAGGACAGGTGTACCACGGAAACAGCAAAGCTCTAATAAAGAGGTTAATAAAGCAAGTAGTGGTTTTCAACCTGTTTTTGGACCAGAAAGCTCAGAACTGAAAAAAGAAAGAAAACGAAATATAATTCAGAGACTAAAACTATTGCAAACATGGAGGGATGGGTTTTGCCCATACAAAACCTTGGACTGCCATTCCTCAACACTGCCATATCCTTTTCTTCCTAACCCTTTCCATTCGTCTAACCTGTCTTTTCTCTTTATTCTACCCTCCTACCCCATATCCCCTAAATCTGGTGGCAGCATAGGAGTTAAATTGCAGCACCCTGATCTACAAATCTAGTTTTAGAGAAGAATTTTCATTATAATGAAAGCCACCAGACTCACCTGTTTCTGTTTTGTTTTTAATTTTTTTGACTCAGCTGTTTTTTAGGACAATGTCAGCAGCTGTCTTGAATATAAACATCTAAGAGGCAAAGGTCAAACTAAGTAATTTGGAAATTGGACTCACCTTACTCTTGCAATGAACACTCCCTATCTAGTACTGCAGGTCTTCAAAGATTTCACAGAATACAGAACAAGCCTAGTAGCTAATCATACAACCAAATGATGTGTCAGGACAGCTCCTTTATCTATCAGAATAACTTTTGCTGAGTAACGAGTAGAAAAAGGAACAGTTTTTAAATTTGCTTTTATAATCTTAGCAAAGGGAAGGCCTTCTTAGCAGAACATCAAGCTAGATAGAAACCATCCATAAAGTTTTTGGGGGAAATGTCAAAAAAAGATTTGAAGGGCTGGGAATTTAGCTCAGTGGTGCCGCGACTTGCCTCTTAAGTGCAAGATCCTGAGTTTGATTCATGGTACAAAACAAAAAAGATTTGACTACCAAAAAAATGAAACAAAAATACATAAGCAAAGTAAAAATACAGCTAACTTAAAAACATCTACATGTGTAACACAAGTTTCTATAAAACAATAAAAGAATCCAATAGAAAAATGAACTAAAGCAAATTATAAAAGGAATGTAAATAACCAACAAAATGTGCATACGGCCTTTGTCCGAATTATTCCATTTTAATCTAAATGGTAAATGATGACAGGAACTCTGAGAAGCTGAGACAGGTGGAGCACATATTTGAGCCTAGCTAGGCAGCTTGATGATTTGAGACCCTGTCTCAAAATTTAAAAAATTTTGGGGGCTGGGGATTTAGCTCAGTGGTTGGGTGGCCTGCCTTGTAAGCGCAAGGACCTGAGTTCGATCCCCGGTACCAAAAAAATAATAATAATTATTATTTTTTAAAGATAAGGATGTATCTCATGCAAAGTCCCTGGGTTCAATCCCTAGTATTGCTTTAAAAAAAATAATTTTTAAAAAAAAAGATATTCTGAAGAGGGGAACCAACAAAGAGAAATTCTTTTTTTTTTCAGTGATTATTAATTGAACAGACATGTTAATTCAAGCAAGGCAAAAGATTCAGGCAAAGTCAGATAAAATAAAAACAAACTGAGTGTAGTGCAACACACCTTTAATGCCAGCACTGTGGGAGGCTGAGGCAGGAGTATCATGAGTTTAACTCTAGCCCTGGAAACCTAGCAATTTAGCAACTCATCAAGACCCTGTCTAAAAAAGGGCTGGGGATGTAGCTCAGTGAGAAGGTCTTGGGTTCAATCCCCGTACTACAATAACAACAAAATTTAGCAAAAGCAACTAACAGTAAGTACATTTTGTGTGCTTTACTTACACTAAACAGATTTATGTCTTGATAATCCTGTGAGGTAAACAGTACAAATACAAGGCCAGGGATTTAGCTCAGTGGTTCTGTTGCCTGCCTAGTAAGCACAAGGACCTGAGTTCGATCCCCAGTACCAAAAAACAAACAGTACAAATACAATTAGGATACATCCCCATTTGAGAGATGAACACACAGAACAATTAACTCAGTCAAACACAAGCTTCCTGCCAACTTTCCACCCACTAAGGGACACTTGGATGGTTACTTCACTCTGTCATCTGTTCCCTCTCATTTCACAGGATGCCAGTAAGGGTTAGAGACCACACAACAAAAACCTCCAGGAAGCTCGTCCTCTAACTCCAAATCTCCGTCCTGATTTTCAACTTGGCCAGGACAGCGTCCTGTTAACGATGCAGGCTTCTCTCCTGTGATCCCAACAGGGCCCATCCTGGTGTGCTTTCAGGCAGGCACTGCACCAGGGACTCTGGATGCAAGGGGAGCCACCCTTCAGAGAAAAACGTCCTCATGAAGCCACCTGGGAGACAAATCAGCACTGCACCTAAACACAGGCACAGTACTGGGGAGGAGGGAGCTACTCGGAAGGCTCAGAGACTAAACAGAGCTAACTCAGTCCTCAGAAGAAACCGCTCAACTGGCCCTCAACATCATTAGTAAGAGATACCCAATACTCATAGAAATTTAAGTTTAAAGACATTTCTGTGATTTCCATACAGCAAAAGAAGTTGCTTACCAGGGCTTCTCACCACCTTATCTTAAATCAAGCTCTCCAGATAAGCAGACTCAATTCACTAACCTTCACATCTGAGCTCACAGGCTCCTGATTTTGTAAAATGAAACCGGTAATGAGTTGTTTTTAAAGATTGCATCCTGGGGCAGCACCCAGTGGCACATGCCTGTAATCCAAGCACTGTGGGAAGCTGAGGCAGGAGGATGGCAAGTTCAAGCCCAGCCTAGAAAACTTGGTGAAATCCTGTCTCAAAATTGAAAAAAAAAAAAAAAAAAAGCCTGGGGATATAGCTCA